TCATCCAGCTCTACACCTTGTTATCTCAAGAAGGAGCCCAGCTGTTGCAATATGAGATAACAAAATAGGTATTCCCTGTGGCATTCTTGGTCAGAACTAGGAGGACCTTGCTTTGTGGAGTATTACGGTAGGTTTGACTTGACTTTTGTGGAGGCAGGAGGAGCAACAGTGTCCCTCTTTAGGTTTACAGGTCTAGCCTGGGTTGTTGCTGCTCCAGGTGTCCTCCCAGGAGGATCCAACTTCTTCAACTTCAGAGTCCCATGGCCAGCTGCTCCAGGACATGCAGAATTCAGCCACATCTCATCCTTCAGATGGTCTGGGACTCTTACCGAGAGCGCTAAACTGCCAGTCTACATTCTGCTAAGCAGCCATTAAAATGTTTACTTGTGGTAGATATGCATAATATTGTATGTTGTTGATTTGATTAATTATTGTCATATGTACCTAGGTACAGTGAAAAGTTTTGTTTTGTGTGCAGTACAGGCAGATCATAACACACAAAGATCATCGGGTGACTGAATAGAGTGAGGAATACAAAGTTATGGCTGCAAAGAAGGTGCACAAGAAGCAAGATCCACATTAGCTTCGAAATTTGAGAGGTCCATTCAGAAGTCTAATAACAGCAGGGAAGAAGCTGCTCTTGCAAGTAGATTTAAGGGAACATTGTTAGTAATTTTAACAGACTTAGAACTGAGGTTTAAAAGCGCAGAGCGATTGTAAGAAATGTGCGACTGAGATTTGCTGTAGAGAGCTCACAAAGGGCTGCCCTGCACTGTCTTGCACATTGTTTATGAATTTAAGTTATTTTCTAACACTGAAAGTGCAGCAAGAAAGTTACCGTGCCACTTTGCTTTTAGAATGTTGGGAGTCATGGAGGGAGAGGATACATTTTTGAGAGGAATCTTGTCAACAAGAAGAATGAAGATTTAATTGTAGATTTGAATATAGCCTCCAAGTAACTGATTAAACCTTTGAGCAGTTGAATAAACCCAATTTTCTTTTTTCATTGCATTATTGAATGCAGCTGTGCACCTCAGTAATTTTGACAAAGTATGTGATGATTGGCATTCCAAATTATTTTGGTTTACTTATATAGACCAAATACGTGAATGACTATGCACAGGAATCTAATGTGTATTTTTCAAAAATAATGACATTTACAAGTGTTTAAAGTCAAGATGATATGTATCTATTCTTCTGCTGTAAACTTTTTGCAGGAGGCCCTGCCAGAATTGTGAATGGTGCTTTTATGGTGCTGAAGGGCCATCGTTCCATCGTCAATCAAGTGCGCTTTAATCCTCATTCATACATGATCTGTTCATCAGGAGTGGAAAAGATTATCAAGGTATGTTGTATGATGAGTCAGAGTTTGCTATTGATCAAATTAGATTTCAGCTACTTGACCATGTATGTGAGCTGAGTCGTAAACGAGATTACATTATTGAAAATATCCGTAACCGTTTTAATATAGCTGGTAGTGTAGACGGTAAACATCATTAATACAGGAACATGGCTCATTCTAGGTAACTATACTTTTATTTTACGTCTCAATTAACAGTTCTGAGTTCCAGACTTATTTGTATGTATATCATAATAAGAAGTTTATTCCTACATTAATTTGTTTTAATCTTTGTGCAGTTTTAAATGTGTCTTTAGAATCTAACCACATAACTATTTTGACTGTTTGTGGTGTCTCCAGTGTGTGATTTTGGACTTAATGTTCAGTTTTATATGAAATAGTCTTGAGATTGCCTATGAAATCAACTAATTGATCTTTTCCTATACTTCAAAGTAATTAATAGGAAAGGTTCATTGCAGGAGAACTGCCCCTTCAGCATATTCCTGATTGTCCTTGGAATTGTTTATATTAACATCTTATTTGGGCTCTCCCAGTGGTTTTTTTTTTCTCTTGTCTACAAAAAACTCCAATTTTTGTTGCTGTGCTTTGGAAGAGCAGTTAAAATTAGTATTTGGTCTCCAGTGTCTAATGCTGCAGTATTCAGTGGCTGATCTCAAAATGTATCTTCTGCTTTGAGAAATGCTGAGATATTAAACCTGAGACCTGGGGGGTATTTTGCATCATCAGCATTTCCACATGGTGGTGCACTACAGGCAGTCTCTGGGTTGTCTACAGGTTCTGTTCTGGAATGCGTTTGCATGTTGATTTGTACACAAGCCAGAACACAATGCAGGAAAATGTAAAGGAGCCATTTTTAAGTACAGGAAATATTCGTATGTCAGGTCTTTGATATTACACCCCTGTATGAGATCGCGTTTGTATGCTGTAAGGGGGGGACCCTCGTATCTTTAGTGAGCCACTCGTCGTCCTCGGCATTATGGCTGCTATTCATATCTTCTTCATGTCCCACCTTAAGACCATTTTTGTTGTTGCTTACACAGCTTCATGTGAATGTATTTCATATGATGGAGAATTAATGATGGAAGTTGTAAATTTACTTCCACATCCACAAAAGGACATAGAGGTGGAACCATTGTGTGTTCAATGACAGGATCTGATTGAGGCAGGAATTTGAGAGCCGTTTTTAAATGCATTTCACAAACCTGTTAACAGGCCTTGCAACTTGACTCCTTAGCACCTAGGTTTCGGCATATGAGGGCTGTTTTAGTTCCAGAATGGGTCAGGGAAGGTATGGTGGTGAATATTTACACTCATTTGGGAAGCATCTACTGGAGTATGCACAGATAGAAGATAGTGTTTTTGATTGAAATCTTGTTCTGTCCCCAGTAATGCTTTGTTGGCAAAAAGGGCATTTAAATTGACAGGAGGATGGTGTGTTGGACTCTCTCACCCTCCTGCTTCCATGTTGATATAGATTCCCGGCTGGGAAGGCATGTAGATGACTTGTCTGCTCCCTGCTAATTGAGGCTCTCTTGTGGTTGATTAGTACTTAGGTGAAAGTGGCGATGGCCTAGTGTTGTAGCTAGACTATTAATCCAGAAACCCAGGTAATGTTCTGAGTCTGGCCTACACGTAACTCCAGATATACACAAATGTAGTTGACTCTCTCAACCACCCTCAGAAAAGGACAAGCAAGTCACTCAGTTGCATCAAACGCTTTCTCACAAAAAATATATGAAACCAGATGGGCCACCCAGCATAGACCTCAGCATCCGAAACAACAGCAGTTAAAGCAGCTGTGTCAACCCTGCACAGTCCTCCTTACTATCATTAGGAGGCTGGTGAAAAAATTGGAAGAACTGTCTCACAGACTACTCAGCCAACTTCCTGACATCATCATTCTCATGCAATCATGCCTTATAAACAGTGACCCAGACATCACCAAGCTTGGATATGCCCTGTCCCACCAGCAGGACTGATCCAGCAGACATGGCAGCGCAGTGATATACAGTCAAGAAGGAATTACTCTGGGAGTCCTGACCTTTGACTCTGGACCCCATGAAGTCTCATCAGATTAAACATGGGCAAGGAAACCTCCTGCTGATGACCGTGTATTGTTCTCCCTCAGCTGATGACCCTGTGCTCCTCTATGTTGAACAACACCTGGAGGAAGCACTGAAGGTGGAGAGGGCGCAGAATTTACTCTAGGTGGGAATTTCAGTCTCCATAAGCAAAAATGACTCGGCAGCAGTACTACAGATCAAGCTGGTTGGGTCCTAAAGGACACTGCTGTTAAACTAGGTCTGCAACAGGTGGTGAGGGAACAACAGGAAAAACATACTTGATCTCCTCCCTGCTGATCTACTTTCCACAGATGTATCTGTCCATGACAGTATTGGTAAGAGTGACCGATGCACAGACCTTATGAAGTCCCGCCCTTGCGTGGATTGTATCCCATAACACGATGTAAGGTATTATCACCGTGCTACATGGGACAGACATCGAACAGATCTAGCTACTCGAGACTGGGCATCCATGAGGCACTCTGAGCTATCAACAGCAGCAGAATTATACTCCATCGCAATCTGTAACCTCGCGGCCCAACATATTCCCCCACTCAAACATTACCATCAAGCCAGGAGATAAACCCTGGTTCAATGGAGAATGCAGGGGGGTATGCCAGGAGCAGCACCAGGTATAACCTAGTGAAGCCACCAAACAAGACTACTTGCATGTCAAACAGTATTAAGCAGCAAGTGATAGACAGAGCTAAGAGATCCCGCAACCAATGGATTTGATCTAACCTCTGTAGTCTTGCCGCACCTAGTCGCGAATGGTGGTGGACAATTAAACAACTCACTAGAGGAGGAGGCGGAGGCTCTACAAATCCCCATCCTCAATGATGGAAGAACCCAGCACATCAGTCCAAAAGATACGGCTGAAGCATTTGCAGCAGTCTTCAGCCAGAAGTGCCATGTGGATGATCCATCTCGGCCTCCTCCAGCGGTCCCCAGCATTACAAATACCAGTCTTCAGCCAATTCGATTCACTCCACATGACATCAAGAAATGGTTAGAGGCACTAGATACTGCAACAGCCATGGGCCCTGATAACATTCTGACAATAGTACTGAAGACTTAAGTTGGCTAAGCAAGCGGCAAGTTTTGGAGCACAAGTCTTCAGTACTATTTCAGTACAACCACAGCTCTGGCATCTACTCAAAAATGTGGAAAATTACCCTTATGCGTCCTGTAGACAAAAAGCAAGACTAATCCAACCAAGCCAGTTACTGCCCCATCAACTGCTCTCAAACCTCAGTAAAGTGATCAAAAGTGTCATCAACATGCTGGCAAGCAGTTCAGCAATAACCTGCTCACTGACACCCAGTTTGGGTTCTGCCAGGGCGACTCAGCTCCTGACCTCTTTAAAGCTTTTGTTCAAACATGGATAAAAGAGCTGGATTCCAGAGGTGAGGTGAGAGTGACAAACCTTGATATCAAGGTTGCATTTGATCGAGTAAAGCATCATTTTGTTATTATTCTTTCACAGGCTGAGGGTGTCATTGACTAGGCCAGCATTTATTTACCATCACTAATTGCCCAGGGGATAGTTAAGAGTCAACCACATTGCTGTGGGTCTGGAGTCACATGTAGGCCAGAACTGTTAAGGATGGCAGTTTCCCCCTCCCTAAAGAGCATTGGTGAACCAGATGGGTTTTTCTAATAGATGGATTCATGGTCATCATTAGGCTCGTAATTCCATATTTTTATTGAATTCAAATTCCACCATATGCTGTGGTGGTATACAAACCTGGGTCCCCAAATCAAAGATTAATAGTCTAGTGATAATACCACAAGATTATTACCTCCTCTTAACCAATGATCAAAGATTGACTGTCTTCTTTTTGTTTATGGGTTCCAACTGAACTCGAGGAGCTAAACCTTTTTGAGCCACACTAGCTTGTTCTTTTAGGATTAAAATATTAGTTATAGGTGGGGTAGGAGATGAACAGGTCAAGGAGGTGGGGATTAGAGGGAGGATTGGACATGGGATGAGGCTGGGGGTAGAGAGGTTTTGAAACTGGTGAATTCTACGTTTAGGCCATCGGACTGTAGGCTCCCGAGGTGGAATATAAGGTGTTGCTCTTCCAGTTTGCATGTGGTGCCATTGTGGCACTGGAAGAGGCCCAGGATGGACAGGTCACCCAGGGAGTGGGAGGGGGAGTTAAAATGGTTAGCAACCGGAAGATGATGATGATTATAGTGTATGGAGCCCAGATGCTCCTCAAATCTGTCACCAAGTCTATATTTGGTTCACCAGTGGACAGGGTACAGCAGACCAGGTTGGAGGATGTACGGGTGAACCCCTGTTGGACAATGGAGAGTTTGTCTTGGGCCTCGTATGGAGGTGAGACGGGAGGTGTAGGGGCATGTATAGCACCTCATGTGGTTGCAGGGAAAGGTGCCGAAGGTGGTGGGGTTTTTGGGGAGTGTGCAATGAACAAGGGAGTTGCGGAGCGGTCCCTATGAAAGGCAGATAGGGGGGTGTGGAGGGAAATATCTGTTTGGTTGTGGGGTCAGATTGTAGGTAGCGGAAGTGGTGGAGGATGATGCGCAGGTTGGTGGGGTGGTATGTGAGGACCGGGGGACTCTGTCTTTATTTTTGTTGGGGGGAGGGGGTTTGAGGACAGAAATGCGAGAAATGCAGTTGAGGGCACTTTCGATCAACGGAGGGGGAAATTGCAGTCCTTGAAGTAAGACAACATCTGGGGTGTTCTGGGAGTGGAATGCTCCATCTTGGGAGCAGATGAGGCGGAGGAATTGGGAGTAAGGGATTGCATTCTTGCGGGAGAGTGGGTGAGAAGAGGTGTAGTCCAGGTAGCTGTGGGAGTCAGTGGGTTTGAAATAGATGTCAGTGCTGGGACGGTTACAGGAGATGGAAACAGAGGTCCAGGAAGGGGAGGCAGGTATCAGAGATGGTCCAGTGAACTTGAGGTTGGGGTGAAAGGTGTTAGTAAAGTTGATGAACTGTTCAAGCTCCTCGTGGGAGCACGAGGCAGCGCTGATACAGTCATCGATGTAGCGGAGGACAAGGTGAGGGATGGTGCCAGTGTAACAGTGGAAGACGGACTACTCTACGTATGCTACAAAGAGGCAGAGATAGCTTGGACCCATACAGGTGCCCATAGCCACCCTTTTGGTTTGTAGGAAGTGGGAGGAGTTAAAGGAAAAGGTGTTGAGGGCAAGGATAAGTTTGGTTAAGCGGATGAGGATGTCGATGGAGGGGGACTGGTTGGGCCTGCGGAAGAGGAAGAATCAGAGGGCTTTTAGGCCATCTGCTTGGGGGATACAAGTGTACACGGACTGGATGTCCATGGTGAAGATGAGGTTTTTGGGGGTGCCGAGGAATTGAAAGTCCTGGAGCAGGGGGATGGTGTCCTGAGTGTAGGCGGGGAGTCCCTGGACCAGGAGGTTTGAGGAGTGGTGGGGGGGAGACAAAGTTGAGTGACAGAGATAAGTTCAATGGGGCAGGGCAAGCAGAGACAATGGGTCGACCAAGGCAGTCAGGTTTGGGAAGCAGATAGAAATGGGCAGTGCGGAGTTAGGGGAATGATGAGTTCGGAGGCTGAGAATGGGATGTTTCCTAGGTTATGGATTGACTGAGAGACAGTGGTCTGGTGATCAGGGGTGGGATTATAATCAAGGGGACAGTAGGAGGAGGTGTCAAAGAGTTGGCCCAGCCTCGGTGATGTAGAGGTCAGTGCGCCATACCATTACTGCACCCCTCTTATCCGCGGGTTTGATGTTGGGGTTGAAATGGAGGGCTGCGTGCTCCGTTGGGGAGAGATTGGAGTGAGGGAGAGGGCTGGAGAGGTTGAGGCGATTGATGGCTCGATGGCAGTTGGAGATGAAGAGGTTGAGGGAGGGTAGGAGGCCGTGGGGTGGCGTCCAGGAAGATGGTGTGCATTGGAGGCGGGAGAAGGGGTCTGTAGAGGATGGGTTAGACTCGCGGTTAAAGAAAAAGGCACGGAGGTGGCGGGAGAAGAGTTTAACATCCAAATGTGAACAGGATTCTTTGATGTCTGGGTGTAGGGGAATGCAGGCGAGTCCTTTTGCTGAGGACTGACTGTTCGTCCTCAGTGAAAGTGGGGTGGGGGGGTTGCGGGGATGTCCCGGCAGGGTTTGGGGTTGGGACTGGAGCTGGGGCTAGGTGTAGAGCTAGAGCTGGGAGTGGGGGTGGAGACTGTCTTGGGAGTGGGTGTGTGTATTGGGGTGGTTACATAGTTGGAAGCAAAAGTGGTATCAGCGGAAATGGCGTCGGCGGCAAAGGAAGTGATGTGGACAATGTCGGGTGAAGTGACGTCGACAGCCTCAGTGAGAGGGGCCGAAGTGACTGCATGGTTAATGGCGCCGGGCAAATTGAGAGGGAGCTCCTGGATAGGGTTGCGTTCTGGAGTGGTGGAGGAGGTCTGTGTTTGGTGGTAAGCACGAGCAAGTTTGGTGTACTTACAGTCCTTGATGTCTAATAGGGCAGAGAAGAAGTGTTGGTTGAGGGTATGGATCCTGCATAGAATGAAAAACAGAAGAGGTCCCTTGCAGGTCTGGGAGAGAGAGGCTCTGAGCTGGGGTAAAGTGGACTGTACTATGAGGCGATGCCAGCACATGGCTGCGAGCGTGGAGCTGAGGATCTGCAGATAAAACAGTTTCTGGAGGCTCTGGATGTATTGTAGGTAGCGGCTGTCATGGTTTGAGCCAAATTGGGATCTCTTGAACATTGTTTGGAATCCATTGGGGATGATCCAACTGTGTGGGCAAGTACTGACAAAGGAGATATGGCTGTAGTAACGGGTTTGTTTCAGTATGTGGTCAAAGAGCTTCAGGGCAGAGGAGATCACCAGTGGGTTGCAATAGGAGAGAGATGCATTGAGGTCTTTGCAGGGGGAGGAGGACACCACCTTCAAGGTGGGCATTCTTGGAAGAGGCTTGGCAGTGGGGTTATAAATCGCTCGGAGATAGCAAGAACTGCAGATGCTGGAGTCGGAGACAGCACGGTGTGGAGCTGGAGGAACACAGCAGGCCAGGCAGCATCAGAGGAGCAGGAAAGTTGACGTTTTGGGCTTAGGCCCTTTATTGGGACTGGGGAGGGGGAAGGAAGCTGAGAAAACAATAGAGGGAAGGGGTTGGGTCTGGGGGAAGGTAGGTGGGATGGCGATAGGTGGATGCAGATAGGGGTACTAGGGATTGGTCAGTGGGATGGGGGGAAGGAGCTGGACAGGTAATGTCGGGTCAAGGAGGCGGGGATGAGAGGGAGGATTGGACGTGGGATGAGGCTAATTGAATTTTGAAAATGCTGCCTGCAGAACGACAGTGACTAACCCTAACCCTATCGCAGCAGAAAACTCAAATGTGGAATGTTGGGAAAACGTGAAGGACCGTAACAAATTCGTCCTTTCACTACACTAAGTCCTCAAAAGATCCTAGCAAAGCCAGATTTTGTCTGTAGGTGGAATAGAAGGAGAATTGAGGACTGATGATTGCTAATTGCTTTACAAAGTAAAGATCTGATTTTTTTTTGTCTGTGGATTTATTGTGTGTGTAGTCAAAGTGTTCTTGAACTTGCAATGTACACCTTTTGGAGCACTACTTCACTCTGGAACTATGTCATTTCTCTCCAGCCGGGGGTTGCTTCTGCAATATTGAAACACCGATATTGAGGACCTGAAATGACCCATTCCAAAATACTCCAGTCTCTGGAGTAAGGATGTTTGATGCTTTAGTGAAAATAAAATTGCTCTGGCTTTCTTTGTCCCACAAAGTTTGTAATGAACTCACAGGCAAACGAATGTTATACTTTTACATTCTACAGCAAAGATGTGATGCTAGGCCCCTACAAATCATTGGGCACATCACATTTGGAGTATTGTGTTTCGTTCTGGGCACCTTCAAACTAAGGAAGGATGTCAGAGCCCTGGAGAGAGTTTGGAGGAGATTTACTCGAATGATAACAGGAGTGAGGGATTTTAGATACAAGGAAAGATTACAGAAATTGGGCTTATTCTTCTTACAGTAGAGAAGAATAAAAGATGAGGTGTTCAAAATTATGAACAGTTTTGACAGGATAAAGCAGGATATTCAGTTTTCGCTAGTTAATGTGTCAGTAATTAAGGATCATAATTTCAAGAATGTCAGCAAGCGAGCTTGGGAGTGAGCTGAGATGAAGCTTTGTTGCTCAGAGGTTAGTTAGGATTTGGAATGAGCTGCCTGGGAGAGTGGTGGAGGTTTCATAAGAGAGCCGGATGGATATTTGTTTTTGAAATGATTGTCTACCTTCTTTTATAGGTATAGCTCTTGACAGTCTGTTGCATTGGTTAACTGCCGTTAACCGTGACTCAGCTGGGAGTATACTCACGTCTGAGTCAGACGTTTGTAGGTTGTAAGAAACCTGAAAGCGAAGTACTATGGAAGTGCTGTTCTGTTGGTGGTACTGCTTTTGGATGCTAGCTAGTTTCTGTTTCAGGTTCATGTAGAAACACCTTGGGTGTTTTAAAAGAAGAAGTTACTCCCGATTTTCTGGCCAATATTTACTCTCAGTCAACATCATAAATGATTTGTTCATTATCTAATGGTTACTTGTAAGAGCTTGCAGTACACAAATTGATTGGACTGTTTCTCACATTACAGCATTAATTAGGTATTAAAAGTACTTGGTTGGCCGTAAGGTGCTCTGAGATTGTGAAAAATATACGAATACAAGTCCTTTTATTTTATATGGTTATTACTTTCTGCATCTGAAAAGTAGAAAGATAAATATTTATAACACAGTGTGGAGCTGGAGGAACACAGCAGGCTAGGCAGCATCAGAGGAGCAGGAAAGTTGACATTTCAGGTCGGGACCCTTCGTTCAGAAATGGGGAGGGGAAAGGGAGCTGGGAAATAAATAGGGAGAGGAGGGGTGGGGTTGGGGAAGGTAGGTGGGATGGTGATAGGTGAGTGCAGGTAGGCAGTCATGGGGATTGGTCAGTGAGGTGGGAGGAGCGGATAGGTTTGGAGAGAAGATGGACAGGTTGTGTCAGGTCATGGAGGCAGGCTGAGAGGGAGGGTTGGTCATGGGATGAGGCCAGGGGTGGGGAGATCTTGAAACTGGTAAAATCCACATTTAGGCCATTGTTTCAAGATTGTAACACAACTGATCACTTTTTATAAAAAGATTCTCAGTTTGATTTAGTCAGCTGTTTAGATCACAGAGCACATGCTTGTACATTGTTCACTGCTACAGCCTGGAGTATTGCAATATAAAAACAAAACTCACTTTTACATTTGAGGCCAAAATTTATCTACCTTCAGTGAACTTCTGTAAGGATATGAGAGCTGAAAATTTTAACGTTGCATAATATTATAAAATTTGAAAATAATAGCCTAATTTGTTTTATGCAAATCCAGTTTTCTTTTTAAAAAAAACCTTTCTGAGAAAATTGTGACAGTGAACACAGTATTTTTGTGCTTTCTAAATACAGGTGTGGAGTCCATACCTCCAACCAGATTGTGCTGGAGACCTAGAAGGAGCAGTGGAAGATGACACCCGCAATCTGTACACTCACGAAGAGTACATCAGCCTGGTCTTAAATAGTGGGAGTGGTCTGTCTCATGATTACGCCAACCAGTCAGTACAGGAAGATCCACGGATGATGGCTTTCTTCGACTCCCTCGTAAGGCGTGAGATTGAGGGTTGGAGCTCTGACTCGGACAGTGACCTGAACGAGAGTACAATTCTTCAGTTGCGCGCGGGGACCAGTGAGCGTTCAGGATACAGTGATACTGAGTCTTCCGCTTCATTGCCGCTGTCGCCCCAGCAGGGTGAGGACTCTGATGAGGCGACCTACACCCTGGACCGACAGAAGCTGCCAAATACTTACGCGGTCAAGGAAGACCTGCGGTCGCGTCGGCAGCGGTTGTCCGCCCTCCGGCGCTACCAAGACGAGCGACTTCGGACTCTTTCAAACGACTCCGATTCCTCTGAGAACAATGGCCAGCAAGTAAATACAGACTCCGACGCGGACCCCGTGAAGAGGCCTCGATCGCCGAGCCCAGAGGCAAACGATTCCAGCAGTTCCAGCAGTAACGGTAGGCGTCGCGCATCCATGCGGCAAAGAAATGCTGCGAGAGCGAAGCAGAAGCTTCGTCGGGAGAAAAGGAGCACTTCACAACTCGAAAAGCTAAAGCAGTGTTGTGCTGCGGATCGTAGTAACTGTTCCCAAACACGCGATGGCGATAATTCGTCGGCTTCGTCCTCACCAGAAAGAAGCAGCACTGAGTTTGATAACAGGGGAAGAATATCTCCTTACTCAGACAGCGAGTCTGAGGTCAGAAAGGTTTATAAAGCCTACAGCAAAATCCAGAACACCTTCAAATCGCAGCTGAAAACAAAAGGAGACACGATGACATTTTTATCACTGGCAGATATGCTGGACACAAGTGAGACAGGCAGTTCAGTAAACTCTTTAACACAAGAAAGCGATGCTGCAAGGAAAGGTCCGATAGTACTTCATCATAGACTTAGAGAGGAAAGATGTTTTGACGAACACAATGGTGAAAGCACCAGCTCAGCAGAGAACACAAACGTACAGGCAAAGAGCAAGCATTCAGTTTCGCTTGGTCATGAATGCAGTAGTCTCACACCTGTAAAGGAAATGACATCTGGAGAACAGGTTCATGTTGTTGAAGATGCCCCCATTGGTTGTGCTGAGCATTGCTATGAGGCCAAAAAGGTTAATGGCAAATCGGTCTGTGTCGGAAGCAACAGTAACCTAACTAACCAGTGTCATGCATTTGGCAGCCAGGCACAAGAGCTATGTGGTCACACACAGGTGCTGGATGGCCAGATAGCCAGAGAAGAATCTGGTCAGGAATTTATTAAATCCACATTGTCTCCAGAAATTCATTTAGCTGGAGCAAGAAGTAATTCTGACCACGTTGATAAATCCAAAGCCAGGACTTGTGATGTGGAAGATAGGTGTTCAGAGACTTCCTGCAATAATGGCCTTTTTGATAGGCAGTGTGCAGGCCACTGTGAACAGGCTCGCCCAGAGCAGACAGATTCCGCAGTGGCCTCCAAATCCGAAGCTTGTGGCTGTGTACAGGTGGCTTCACTACACCACAAGGAAGACAGTTCCCAATCTGGGATAAGTGAGCATTATGAGTGTGCTAAAAAAATGATAGCACTGCAGAAAATTTTTGATTGTCGCCAAGGGACCCTGTCACCAGCTGACACTGGCCAGCCTTCTGGAGGCTTAAAAAGGTTGAGAAAAGAGCTGGATCCGGACTACTCACCAGCTGAGAAGAAGCAGAAGACATGATATGATTTGCACTTCCCCATACCAGTGCCTCAGAATGTCACTGATGAAAGCATTTAACTGGAACTCCACAAGACACTGGCCTGTAAAACAGTGAGAGGTTTTGTTAACAATTATGTAAATAAGTCAATTTGTTGAAGAAATGCTAATACAGAAATTTGTAGAATGTGTATGATAATGGTATATAAAATACAAATTATTTGGAGTGATTCTAACTTTGGATTCAGATATCCAATTTGTCTTGGAAGGTTTGTACTTCTTCTGTTTAAGTATTCATTATACCAAGCAAGGGTTTATGGTACATTTGGCATCTCAGATTGGACAGATCATTATAAAGCTTCCCCTCCTATCAACTTGGTAAAGATGAGCAAATTTATATATGATCCAAGTGTTCAAGCCCATGGAATAATAATTAAACAGATGAAGACTTTTTGAAATCTAACACTTTATAGTTCTTGAGGTTTTTCTTTGGTCTTATTTTAAATTGCCACGTTTATATGGCAGCCTTTTATTCATGCAAGGAGTCGACAGTTTGATTCTTAAGGAAAATGTTCAACAAGTTGGTTATGTATGTGGAACACAGTGATCTGTTGGCGAAGAGAGTTCGACTTAAGCAGCGGTCAGGAATAAAGTTTTTGTGTTTTGCGTTTAATTTCTTAATGAGAATTATTTGAAGCACAACATTTCTGCACAGTAGGTACATGGTCAGCTGTTCCTTTCCTTAACAGACAACAGAAATAAACATGAACATTAACATTACTTTTGTGTCTTGCAGCCTTCCTGCATCAAACCTATTTTGTTCATTCACCTGAAAAGGCAACGTAACATTTCACAGCCACAGTTAGATCTTTGAGTATTAATTTGATTCAGAAACCTCATGGCGTTTTATTTTACTGTGGTTTTTATTTGGCAAGAGGAAAGAAGAAAGATGGTTAACCCTTGCTCATTGTATTATCTTTGAGTCAAGAGCCAGTATCGGTTGAACAATGAACCCTCCAAAACTCCTCTGAATTGGCAAAATGCTCAGTTCTGAAAGTTTGTCTGCCAGTCGTCTTGGACATTCATGTAAACATCCATTGGCCTGCAATTGCTCAGAGCAAAATTGGAATAACTATTTTGTTATGGACTGCATTAGTTAGCTGAAGATAATTTTGATCTCCAAGACAAAGCTACAAATGCAGTCATAATGATACCAATGTTGCAACTGTCCTTCATGATTGAGTAGCCGTTGGTTGTTTCTGTATCCTTTCACTTCAGCCCAAATGTGGTGGAAACCTCAAATGGGGGCTTGGACAGTTAACTCAGTTCTGAAATTGGAATACTTTATTAAACAGAAAGTCATGTTAAATTAATAATTCCTTTAGAAAGTGGTATTAGAACAACTGGTGTGAGTAATAACGTGGTAGGCGATTCTTGTTAAGATGCACCTCTTGGAAGGTATCCAGTGTTCAGTATATGCAGTATTTGCATGGTGCTAATTTGCTTGAGCATGAATATCCCTCGTGACATAAAAAGGAGGAAAAAATGTCAATATTGTCGTTAACTCTAGCAGAACATCAGCTTTTATGTAGTCTTTATGATGACATCCAGAAGCACTTCACAAGAGCAATAACAAAGCAAAATTCTACACCAAAGACACAAAATCATATTTGAGCAGGTGACCAAAAGCTTGATCAAAGAATTATGTTTTAAGGAGCATCTTAAAAAGGAAAAACAGAAGTGGAGTGGGATCTGTGGGGCCCAGACAGCTCAAGGCACACTACTAAAACCAGGATGCTCAAGAGGCCAGAATTAATGGATATCCTGGAAGAGGCAATCACAATTGGGAGGGATGAGGCAACAGAAAATTTTAAAACAAGGTGGAGAATTTTAAAAGCAAGGCATTCACTAACTGGAGCCATTGTAGGTCAGCAAAGACGGAGGTGCTAAGATGCAAAATTTGAAGTGAGTCAGGGTATGTAGCACAGTTGTGGCTGAGCTCAAGTATATGTTAAAATGTGGGAAACCAGCTGGTTGTGCAGTAGAATAATCCTGTTTAGAGGTAACACATATGTGAATGAGGGTCTCAGAAGCTGATGAGCTAAGGTATGACCAAAATTGTTTGATGTTACTGAGGTGGAAATACGCAGTCTTAGTGATGGCCCTGTTATGTGTTGAGAAGCTTATCTGAGGTTCAAACATGATGCTAAGCCTGCAAAGAGAAACACTTCATCTCAAACTGCCACTGGGGAGAGGGAAGCAGTTGATAACTGGGGAATACAGTTTGCAGCAGGACTTGAAAACAATGGCTTCAATTTTTGCATTTTTGAAAGAAATTTCTGCTCATAGTACTAGAAGTTGGATAAGTAAACTGGTTATTTTTTGCAACAATGGAGGAATTGATAAAAGTAATCATGACGTAGAGCTGAATGCAGTGAAAACCACTTTTTAATGATGTTGTCAAAGGGTGGTATGTAGATAAGTAATGGGAAGTGGAGCCAAGGCTACATACCTGGGGGACAATAGAGGTAAAAATAATGATGGGCTGCGATTATCTGGTTATGCTTAGATAAGAATTGTACGATGTGAATGTTGTCCCACTGATCTGGATGATCGTGAGGGGGACAACGTGTAAACGGTGTCAAAAACTGCTGACAGGTCGAGAAAGATAAAGGATACCTTAGCTACTACCATATCAGATGATGTCTTTAGGCTAATAAGAGTTATTTTGGTACTACAGGAGGGGCGGAAACCTGGTTGGAGAGATTCAAAAATGGAGTTCCAGGAAAGATGAAAATGGTTTTGGTCGACAAATACAAGTTCAAAGGGCTTTAGTGATGGAACACTTATTGATAGAGATGAGGCTGGAGGAGATGTAAAATATGCATTTAAACGTATAGCTTGCTGTAGAGAATAAAAGCCAAGATTAATCCAAGGTGATCCGATAATAGTGAGAAACTCGACAGGATACAAAATGATATAATGTATACTGCAATAAGCTTGAGGTATGAAGACTTAGAACACTAGCAAAACTGAGCTATTTCTGTAATGAAATTTGGTGTTTTAAGGACATTCTTGCATCATTTAGTATTTGTTTGATTTAAATATATATGAAGTCATGCATACAGATTTGAAACAAATTTTAGTTCTCATTTCTTTGCTCTCACTAGCATTACAGTCTCTTGGCACTGAAACAAGTATGGGTTATTGGGTTATTTTGGGTAATTACACAATGTCATTCTTCCATAAATGCTATTCAACACTGAACAACAGGAATTAATTATGTTTCATCTCAAAACACCAAGTTATGTTGGCTTTTTGTGTCTTTTAGAAAAACATTTGAGCTATCATTCAGCCCCTAATGGATGCATAAAGACTTTTTCCTTGGCAGTTCAATCCAGTTACTTCAGTTCCATCTGTGTCTTATTTCAGAAATGTTAAATGAAAACTACCTCTTTGCATCAGATCTTCCAATGAGCCAATTGGTAAAGTCACTTCCTGAGAGGTGATATAATATCTCTGGTTCAATTCTTTGCTGAGTAAGCTGGTTTTATCTAGTTCTACAATTGGTCTCTGCACTCGTTGACAAGTAAAGGAGAAAGTAGCTATTTTACAAAAATAAATTTGAAGTATTGTTGAGTCAGACAAATACATCAGATTGAGTCAGGTACAGTGCTGGCCTTCGTCCATATCCTCCAGTGGATCAGAAAGCTACGCATAAGAGCCATAGATAAACGTTTTTGCTCATAACATAATCTTTATGTTCTACTGCTATACTGAGGAAGTGCTATATCATTGAAGTCCTAATTAGTAATGGCTCATTGGCAGTACTCCACTTCAAATTATTGGGTTCTTGCCCCATTCCATGAAATCAAGATTGATACACTTCAATGCAAGTTGAAGGAGTGCTGCAATGTCAGGTGCAGTCTTTTGTGTGAGGTTTTTAAGCAAGATTATGCCTCCTTAGTGGACATCAGTGTGATCTTTTAAGAGAATGTTTCTTGATCAACATCACAAATATATAGGTTATCTGGTCATTATCATATTGTTTGTGAGACCTTGCTCTGCGTAAATTGCCTGCCATGTTTCCTACATTGTTTTTAATTGGCTGGAAAGTGCATTAAGATGTCCTGATGTTATGGAATACATTACACAAATGTAAGACTTTTAAGCATGTCCTCATTTCTCACCACTTTTTTTCCTTAACCACTGCCGGCAAAGATCAATTAATTGGTTTCGCACCTCATTATTTGAGATCTTACTGCTATATTTGCCTGCTTAATGATTGAAATTTGGAAGCAACGCACTTTGCAGCACTTCAATGCATTTTGATATGAGTGGATGTTCCACAAATGCAAAGATGACACACAGTACAGAATATAGCATATTATAAAGTGTAGGATAAACAGGAACTATTCTTACACTTAAGCATGTATGTGTACATTTGTTATTACAAATAATCCTGATGCAGCTTCTTTCTGTAAAGTATTGTCAAATGAAGTGAGAAAACTTTGAGAAGGAATGGAGGCATGTGAAAAACAGACTGAATCATGTAGCATCTCTGGTTCCACCAAGTAGCACAAAAACCACCTCAACAGAGTACCTGAATTCAGGAATTTGGTGGCAGGGGAATTCTAAATGTTCTAAAGGTTAACCCCTTTCTAAAGTTTAGTCAACTATTATGTTTACCATTCAAGTTCAACCAGACCTTGTTTCTTTTATAGTGTTAATCAGTCATAACAAAACTGCTGAATAGTGAAAGCTGCAGTTGATTGGGTAACAAGTTTGAACTGGTATCCTGGTCATCTTGGGCTGATCTATTACTACTGTATTAATAAAATGTTTTTGCTAACACGCAATAAGTTGCTTGAAGATTAATTCAAAAGAGCGCAAATTTAACACTCCTGGATTTGCTGATTGTTTTAAGAGGGGGAATTTGAATGCACTGAGGGTTGAGTTGCTGTTCTGGTGTGACAGATGAACTGCTGTGAGGATCTAAACTATATAATTAATGACACTGGCAAAGATACAAGATTACACAATGATTAATTAACTTTATTGGAGTATGCTTCAGTTATTACATGGATATGAGTAGCATATAGCATAAGTAGCGAATAGCATAAGCAAATAATATCCTGTAACCTATCAATGAGAAAGCAAACAAACAGAACTCTCAATTTTGTTTTGTCCTCATTTTTTCAAATAGTCCACAGAGGCTGAATCCTTCCAATCCATAGGACAACTTGTCTGACTTGTTTTAAATGATGAAATGAGAGGTTTACACATGCTTCCAAAGCTGATTCATAGAATCATGCAGTACCAAAGAGGTCCATTGAGTCTGCACTAGCAAAAAGCTACTCTAAACTTATAAAAACCGAAAGAACCGCGGATGCAGTAAATTAAGAACAAAAACAAAGTTGCTAGAAAAGCTCAGCAGGTCTGGCAACATCTATGAAGAAAAAAAAAATCAGAATTAATGTTTCGGGTTCAGTTCTGAGGTAGGGTCACCAGACCTGAAACATTAACTCTGATTTTTTTCTTCACGGATGCTGCCAGACCTGCTGAGCTTTTCCAGCAACGTCTGTTTTTGTTACTCTAAACTTATACTAGTTCCACTTTCCAGCACATGGCTCATTGCCTTGATGAGCACTTGAAATATCATAACATTCATGTATTTTTTTTAAAGTTTATAGGGTTTCCCCATCTTATCTACCCTCCCAGGCAGAATTCCCACCACCCTCTGGGTGAATATGGTTTTTCCCCAAATCTCCTCTAAACCTTCTACTTTTCACCTTAAAATTATACCTGCTTGTTATTGATCTTAAACTAAGAGGAACAGCTGCTTTCCATTCATCCTGCCCATGTCCCTTGTAATCTTATATACTTCAATCAGGTCCCCTCTCAGCCTTCTCTGCTCTAAAGAAAATGACCTGAGCTTATCCAACATCGCTTAGTAAACTGCTCCATCCCACACAACATCCCAGTGAATCTCCTCTGCACCCCCTTCACGGCAAATGCATCCTTACAATAGAGTGGTGAACAGTGAAATCTTCCACGCTGTCCCAGTCTTGCCCTTCAAACTGCAACCCACAGAAAAACTGGTCTGTTTTCACCCAGATGCTCTGTCTTTAACTCAACCGCAGAAAACTGGAACTTTCCTCCCAGCTATCCACTTTCATCCAACCAAGAGACTAAAGGGTTACACATTCCTTCAACAGCAGCACATAAGCTTTTCTCTCACCTCTCCCAGGTGATTCTCTGTTCACACCTGGGCCACTGGTCAGAAGTCCAGCAGAAAAAGATGCAACTTTTCATATGTTGGGCAACATCGTGCTGATTGGCAAGGAACGAGGGAAGGTGTGCCTTTCTTAGACTTCTCTGTACATATTTTCAAAACCTGTGGGAATTGGATTGCTTGCTGCCTGCATGGTCAGATCTACACGTGGTCAAGCATGTTGTCATCCTTCACAGACAGAGTTCCTTTGAACTGCCTCAAAATACTCTTGACTTTTACAAAGCTCCCAAGGAGGTCTAGGATTCCATCCCTTGCTAAACATCAACCTTCCACGCTGTTCCAAAGTTCCTCATGATAATCCTTGAACCAGAAGAAATTTATAAAATGTCCTTAGTAGATATTTGTACCATTGGAATGTTTGCAAGAACAGACCATCATACCTGATTTCTTACAATTGCAGACTTTTGGGCATTTTACTTTTTTTTATTCTGCCAATGCAGAACGCCGGACATTCCTGTTAGGTACTTATTTGTGTTGGTGAATTAACCATTACTCTAAAACCTTATTAACCATTATTATTTTTCTACTCCCTTAACCCTTGTATTTCCACAAAGATCAAGCTAGCAAATTTAACTGCGGCCAATTTGACTCCATTTTTCATGCCATATGCACTTCAATATCACAGGAGGCATAACTGTAACAGTGTGAAGTTGAAAATTAATCAGTTAAATTGTAATTTTATTGAGTGGCCTTGGAGAAGGAACAGAAAGCAGCAAGACCTGAAAGCTGAGGTCTTGAAGCATTTACTGGTTTAAGTGTGTAAGTGATTGGCATTTGAGTTCTAAGTTTTTTCCTAAACTAAACGGGAGCAGTAATATGAACTAATGTTGGAGATATAAGTGTTATAAATTTATAGTTTAACTAAGTAAGGAACATGGAGCAAGGATAGACCATTTGGCTGCTCACGCTTGCTCCTCCATTCAGTTTGATCTTAGCTGATCTAAATACTCCACATTCCCAACTACCCATGATAACCTTTCGTCCCCCTGCTCGTCAAGAAACTTTCTCTACCTTAAAAATATTTAATGACTCTGCTTCCATTGCTTTTTGAATAGAGTTAGAAATAATAGTTTCTAAACTTGAAATGTCAATTGATTAAAGAAAATACAAGTGAAATGGGCAGAGAGGTGATGTGTTGCAGCTGTAGGATATGGGAGATACCGGACCTCACTGTGATCCACAGCAACCATATCTGCATTAATTGGCTGCAGTTCAAGAAACTTTGGATGAAGAGTTGATGGACTGGCGTCCAAGTTATGGACTCAAAGGTCAAAGTTCTTGCAGTCTGTGTGGGCCTGTATGTGCCAGAAGAGGCTTGAATACAGGATAAGCAAAGTGAACATATGACCATACAATGGGGACCATTGAAATTGGAGGAGGGAGTTAAAAGAAACATAGTACTAGGAAGGGAAAGTAATGCTGGGAGTATTGATACTGTCCTCAGTGGGCAAAGGCATAAGGCCCGAAAGCTGTGTTGCTTGCTTGGGGCTGCAGAAGTAACTTGGAGACAAAATGTCCAATTATCATGCTGTAAATGTGAACCAATGATACAGGAAGAACTAAGAAAAGTTCTGCTGAAGGATTATAAGCCTCAAGGCAAGATGTTTAAAAAAAAAAAATCACAGTTAATTGTCTGCAAATTATTAGCTGAACCATAAGCAAATTGATGTAGGATAAATTGAATGCATATTTAGATTGTTATGGGAGATGTGGATTTCAATTGATGAGGCCCTGGTGCCAGTACTGAAGAAAGAGGGAGCTGTAAAATTGTGAGGTGATTCACTTGAATCCGAAAGGTCCTGGCAAAACATAACCAGGACTGTAGAGAGAACTTTAAAATAAATGGTGAGGGACAGATTTCATGTGAGGGGAAACTTTTATAAGGTTGGTTTTAAAAAAAAAAAAGGATGAAGCAACACCACAAGTTAGTGATGTGGGTAATGTTAACCTGAGTGTGACAGGGAAAATATATACAAACAGAATGCAGTAGCGTATAGGAACAGAGTGGAGAAAATGGTAAAAAGACAAAATTCAAAGTTTTTTTTATGTGAAAACACAGAATTCATAACAAGATCATGGAATTAACAGTGAAAATGGAAGTAAATAGGTGTGATATCATAATTATTTAGAGACATGGTTGTCAAGTAATCATAGCTGGGACCTGCACTTTCAAGGGCATTTGACAATTGAGAAAAAAGGAAAAATGAAAAGGAAGTGGAGTAATTCTGTTAATAGAAGATGACCAGAGTGTTGTAGTGAGAAATGATTTTGGCTCAGAAGATCAAGATTTGGAATTAATTTGGGTGGAAATAAAAAATAAGCCAGAGAAAGAAATCTCTGGTAGGCCTACACTATAATCCCATTAACTGTTAGGTTGTAAAAGTATAAATCTAGAAATGATTGGGACTTCTAAGGAAGATACAACAATAATTGTGGTCAGTTTTATTCTTTATAAAGGTTAGTCAAATCAGGTAGGGAAAGGTAATTGAAGGTTAGTACGTGGAATGCATTTGGGGCTGTTTCTTAGAATTGTGAACAGTCTATTCCATACCCAATGATGCGTATTGATTCAGAATTAACGATTACATAGTAAAGAAGCCTGTTGGTAAGAGTGATCAAAACATGTTCAAACTTCTCACTGTATGTGAGAAACTTGGGTCTGAAAAGAGAGTATTAAAGGTAACTACAATGTGTGAAGAAAGAATTAGCTAAAGTAGAACTGAAAAGGTAAGTTATAAGGTGGGATGGTAGAACAGTGGTGACAGACTTAAGTGCTGAAGAGTTCCCTGACTGGGAGGGACTATTCCTGTCTGGCGATTGTTGTGTGGTGTCCATTCATCCACTGTCATCACGTCTGCATTCAGCCTCTGATGAGGAATATGGAGAGACAACATAAAATAAGGAATGCAATTACCAAAGGTGAGGCAGGAGCAGAGGGACCCTGAGTATCTATGTGCAGTATGCATTGAAAGTGACAGGAAAAGTTGACAGCACTGTTAATAATGCATGCAGTATATTGGGCTCTATTCACAGGAGCGTCGAGTACAAAAGCAAGGAGTTCATGTTGCATAGATTGCTTTTGTATTGTGTCTGATATTTGGGTGCCACATTTAGGAAGCAAATGAAGGGTACTGGGAGCAGAGTGCAGAAATGATTTTGTGTGTGCGGTTTCAGGGATGAGGAAGTTCTGTTAGGAAGATAGATTGGAGATGTTAGGACTGTTTTCTTTCACGAAAAGGAGGCTGAGGGGAGATTTGATTGATGAATTCAAAATCATGAGGGGTTTGGACTGAAAGGATCATGAACAAGAGAGCACAGATTTAAAGTAATTGGTAAAAGAAGCAAAAATGACAGGAGGATAACCTCCTTCACACAGCAAGCAGTTAAGGTCTGGAGAGAGTGGTCGGGGCACTCTCAATTGAAGCAGTCGAAAGGGAATTAGGTTGTTCTTCGAAAACAAAGAATGTGCAGTGTTCTAGGGAGATAGCCAGGGGATAGCATGAGATTAGTTACTTATTAAGAGAGTCGGTGTAGGCAAGCTAGACCAATGGCTTCCTCCTGTGC